GAGCATAGAGCTGATTTCAAAATATAAGTTCTTGTGGTGAAGAGGCTCCCTCTCACTTTTCTCTTTTGGCTATCATCTCCTCCCCAGTTGTTTTGAAGCCAAGCAGACTTCTGCCAAGACCCCTCCCCCCAAAAACCATACAAGCCAAACTCAACCTAATCAAGATTAGTGGGAGAACAAACACACAGCTCCACACCACCATATCAGAAAACATCATGGTTCCACCGCTATGGCTAATATGGTATTGAGGGCACACAGTCAGGTTGCAGCCAACTCGCAGACCTTGGCTTGTAGATAGGCCTGTGGATTTATGAGCACCAGCTCTTTCTCTGCTGAGGAACATTAAGAAGTTGATTTGTACCAAGTCAAACCACTGGTCAATCTGCCTCAGCACTGTCTACCACTGGTCTTCAGCTGGTAGGTCAGAACCCACTACTGGCCTGATTCAAGGTGGGTCACAACAGGAGCACTACCACCATGCATGGTAAATGATTATGAAATGGAGCCCCAAATGGAGAGAAGAATGCTCTTGAGCTCAGGTCCTACTTGAAGGTTTCCCAAAGGCATCTGAGTGGCCAGTGTAAAAGCAGGATGCTGGACTAGATGGTCCATTGACCCGATCCAGCAGGGTTCTCCCTTTGTTCTTATGGTTGAAGACTACTGGCCTATACTGACTGGCAGTGGCCTTCCAGGGTTTGAGAGAGGGCACAGTCTCTCTCAGCCCTACCTGATGAAGCCAGTGAAAGAGCCTGGGTGTTCTCATATGCATAGCATGCCCCACCACTAAGCTGTGGTCCTTCCCCTTCCAGCTAGCCATCTCAGCAACTGTCAATATCTCTCCTCCACAATAAGTCAAGTACCTTTCTCTTACTCAACCTCTCAACCATGGGCCCTGTTTGCAGCTGACATTAGTAGGGCACTTTCTGAAGCAATCTTGCCTTAGACAGGATAACCCCAAAGTGGTGCCAGTTTTCCCATTCAAAGCTCTTGTAAGAACCAACCAAAGATGTTTTGCCGCGGAAGGAAAAGAACATGCCCCCTCCTGTTCTGGGGACAGAAGCCGATCAGTGAAGGCTGATCCATTAGGGTGAACAGCTCACTGCCCTACCAACCTTAGTGAGCCCCCGCCATCTTGCTTACCACCATTCCAGAAAGTATCACTGACTGTCAGTGCCTCCTCCTTAAGTCTCAATGTTGCACCTGCAGGCCTCATCGGAGGAGAGGATGGAGACAGCACTAGGTTTAGTGGGCTCTGCTCCACCTACGGTTGGGCTCCTGCCTTCTCTGACCCACCAGTCCCAGTGGGCACCAGACCCTAATGGAGCTGCTTGGACTGGAAGCTGATTCTTATTTCAACACTGGGGGTGGGATTGCATCCGCCTCCACACCAGAGACAATAGGCCAAATTATGTGGGCCAAAACAGGCCCTGTGGCAACACAGGGGAATGGCAGGGGGAGGGGTTTGTGAGGAAAACCCTCAGCACCTGCCACCCGAGGCAGTTGCTTCAGTCTGCCTAAAGGCAGCACTGGCTTCCTTCCTGAAAAGAAGCAAAAGGAAGGCTCGAGATTATTTTGAAGAGCGGCTATCATTTTGATTTTTCGTTTCCCACACGAAAGCACCTACAGCCAACGAAAGTCTCCAACTATCATAATTCTCCAAAGCAAGTGACCCCCACCAAGCAACACAGTTAATGAAATTAAAAGCCCCTAATTGGGCTTAAACAGAGAGACTGTTATCTCACAATAAACCAGTTAGGCCATCTTTAATGAAGAAAGCCGGTTACTCCATTTCACAGAGGGAAGTCCAGAGCAGGCGGTTCTCACATCTCCCCATCCCTTCACCCTGTCATCTGGGCTGTGCACCGTCTTACTGGGCAAATCAGGGGGCTTAAGCATAAAGCGGAAGAAAGGAAAAGGTTGATCCCTTGATCTTCTCTCTGAACCCATTCATCTGCCATAACCTTGTGAGATGTTTCTTTTGTTAAAACAGTCCTCCACCCACTCACACCGTAACCTCCTTTAATAAGCAGAGGATGGGAGGGAGAGAGGGGAAAATTGATAGTCTTTCCATAATTGCACATAGACAATGCAAGGGTCAATTTAATTCTGCATCCTGTTTCCCAGAGTGGCCAACCAGGTGCCCCTTGAGCAACCCACAAGCAAGGCTTGAAGGATTCAGCTCTCTTTTATTGTTTTTCACTGGCATCTGGCACTTGGTGGTAGACTGCCCCTGAACATGAAGTTCAGCTATTGTGATTGACAGCCATTGATGATGTTGCCATCCTTACGTATTTCCTAAGCACATTTAAAGGGTTGTTCCCACACCTTTTCAAGAAAATAATTAATCTTCCTCCTTTGTCTTCTTAGCCCCAAACCATAATTTCGCAAAATATTACAACCAGGCTATAAAACAACAACGGTGCCTTTTCCTGAGTGATTTGGAAAGGCTGAAGTTGGATCAAGGACAGATTCAATCCTCCAGTGAACCTGACAACTTCAGATCATTTCCTGACATTAAAAAATATTCTCTCTCTCAAAACACACACACACACACACACACACACACAACCTCTGCTCATTCTGGAGTTTGAAAGGGCCCTCCATCTACTTTGCTAACAGCTTGATCAGCATTTTCAAAGCAGTCAAGTTATTTTCCGGATACAAAAGATTCACATAATCATATCTCCCCCAGCAGTCCAGATTATGATATAGACACGCTGGCTTAAATACACATGGAGCAAAATGCTAGAAATGGCTCTTTCGAGACATAGTTTCGTTTAGAGATTTGTGGCGGGGGAGGGGGGTGTCGCTAGTTCAAAGCACCTTCAAAGCGTGCTTTCGAAAGCTAAAAGGCCAAACCACACCAAACTGAGAATACATTACTTTCTCTTACTTTTTCCCCTAGCATTTCCTGGAAGACTCCTCATGCAGCAGAAAAATGGGGCACATCTGGGAACGGATGGTGGTGCTATACCCAGAGTAGGCTTCTCTGCTTTCATTGGGAGAATATTCAGTAAAGGGAGAATAGAAAATGGGCAACAAGGGGGCAGCTACAAAGGAACATACCGGGGGTTTCAAAAACAGCCACTTGCCCAGTCGCCTCTGGTGAGTTACCGTCACCTCCAGGTGACCACAAACAGGGAAGCTTTTGCAAACCGAAAGAGAATTCCTTCTTTCCTTTTTCTCCAGCCACCCAAGTCCCTGAAGTCTCGTAACTTTTGTAGATGTTATTTGCCAGGCTGGGGCACACAGTCTTTCCTCTGCACTGAGCCATCCCTTGAAAAGCATGCAGGGCCACTCCTGACAGCTTTAAAGACAGCCACGCCAGTTGTACGGTGCAGAAAAGATAAATAAATAAACGACAAGGTTGCCACAGCTCTCCAAATGAATGTTTGGGCCATTTCCCCAAAGCTGCACTTAGAGGGTTGAACAGCACATCCTTTGGGTAAGGTGGGGGGGAGACAGAGGAGCATCCTTAATGCACCTGTCTCCATCTTATGTCCTAGTCCTTCTATAATGTGTTGGGTACGACTGGGCTTTTAATTAACCAATAATCAACCCTCCCCCCCCCATTGCTCAGTCCTGGCCTTCGTGCATTTGCTTGCCAAAGGAAAAATCATAAAGAAATCCACTTTCCTCACCCCCACACCCTAATTTGACTCCCACGGGCAACTTACTGAGGCTGCACAATAACCCTATTTCAATTAGCATTAGGCTAATGAAACGGCTCAGAGTTTTAGCGTCGCCCAGCCCTCCCCAAAAAGGAAAAGATATATCTGCATTGTTGGAAACCGACACCAGGCAGAGTTCTCAGCAGATATGGCTCTTTTTTAAATAAAAATATACATACAGAATTAAAATCTAGATGGATGGAGCTTGTAAGAAGAGTGGTAAGGATGGTCCCTCTCCCCCTTACTCTCCCTCCCTTACTTACTCACTCTTGCCTCTCTCAGGTCCATGGGCTTTTGCCTGAGATTTAACCACCAGGATCTCCTAACAAGCATAAAGGAACTTGGATTTTTTTTTATAAAAACAAAAACAATCACATTTGTTTTATTTTTATTTTTTTAAAGAGACACTCCACTAAGTGTGTGTGTGTGTGTGTGTGTGTGTGTGTGTGTGTGTTTCCCTGGTTCCACAACCCCCACCCCAGTGACTGTGAGATAAAAACATCCACTGCAAGAGGGGGGAAAGCTACAGGAAAGCTGCTCTGGCATTAGAGTCCTTGTTTGCAACAAACAACAACAACAAAATATATGTCACAATGTGATCTCGAATAAGCTACTTAAGGGACAGCCCTCCCTGTCTTATTTCCAAAATCTATGTGTGCATTGAAGAGAGAAAAGCTGCAGGGTTGGTGAAGCTTCTTTTTTTAAAAGAGAGAGACAGAGAGAGAGAAAAGGCACAAACGAGGACACAGAAAGGAGAACTGGAGTGGAGAAAGAGGGAGAAAAAACCCATCCTATTATCATGGCAAGTCTCCCAAAGAGAGAGAGTGTGTGTTCCTCTTCGGACACAGTTAAAGCAAGCCGGAGACTGGAGGTTTCATCGTACATGATCTTCCAGACACATCTATGCACAGACACACACATAGCCAGAGGTTCCCTCTTCCTGAGGGTGCTAACAAACCCTTATTGACTTCATAGCCATGGCAAGTCTGATCCAAACTGTTGCTTTTTTCAGCAGGAGGAGGAGGGATGAGGAGGAGGGGGGGATTTGGAGGGGCCTCCCTCCCACCCTCCCTCCCACAGACACACACATATATTTTTTTGAAAGAGAACCAAAGGGAGATCTGCATTCAGTGAAATGCACATGCCCCGATCTTTATACACAGAGAACGAGAGCAATGGGAAGGGGCATTCTATCTATTCGGTACACAAGGCACCCCCATTATCCCCCTTTGCAAATATCACATGCATGTACTAATACACAGCTTTGGAGAGAGAGAGAAATGGGGAGGGATTTTTTTGGGGAGGGGGGTGTGAAGAAACAAGACTTACATCGAAGTGATATTCCTAGAGATGTCCGTGATGTTGATGCTGGTATTCCCGTTGCTCGTGCCTGAATCTTGCCCTTCCAAAAGGGGGAAGAGGTTCCCATCGTCCGGCTTTTTGCAATTGATCTCGGTCTTATTGCAAAGGCAGTTGGCAGGGCAACCCAAGACGGAAACCAAGAAGTCTCCCCAAATGCTCCAGAGCCAGAAAACCTTCCAAAAACTACATTTGGTCGGACAAAACAAGACATCCATCTTCGATTCGCTGTGGCTTTATTTCAGAAGAATTACTGATATATACAAAATAAAAATTAAAAAAAAATTAAGCCTGATGGTGATCCAAAAGAGAGAGAGAGAGAGAGAGAGAGGAGGGGGGTGGAGAGAGAAAGAAATAAGAGGGGGGAGGTTGTGGAAAGGGAGGGGGAAAGAGGGGAGGACACAGAGGAGAGGGGGAGAGAGAGAGGTTTTAAGGGAGAAGGGGGTGAGGACAGGGGAGGAAGAAAAAAAAAAAAGACAAAATAAACCACCCTCAAGCGATCGGAGGCATGTAGAGAAAAAATCCTTCCGTCGATGGACTCATGATGGGCAGGTCGGCGAGGCTGGCTTATTCCCTCTACTGTAGCGGTGAGCGCTGCATCGCGGCTGGCTGGCTGGCTGGTGTGTGCGCGGTGCGGCTGGCGTTTCTCGGTGCCTTGTTGATCCACCGTAGCTCGCTCGCTCGCTGCTCTCCCAGAGACTTGTGAAGATTGCAACAGAAGAGGGGGGAAGGCAGCAGCAGCGGCAGCGGCGGCAGCGAGGAGAGGAGGAGGAGGAGGAGGGAGAGGAGGAAAGGAAGAGAGAGAGAGAGGAGGGTGGGGGCGAAATATGATGGTGCTTAAAGTCACCAAGTCCCACCTACCGGGCAGAATTAAAATTGAAACACCTGCAAGAAAAAAACGCCACGCAGAGGGAGAGGAGGAGATGGAGGGGCACGAGAAGAGGGGGGGGCGCTCCCTGCCTCCTCCTCCTTCGCCGCCGCCTCCTGTCGTGTGTGTGTGTGTGTGTCCCCTCCAACCCGGCCAGCTAGCCCTTCCCACGCCCAGCAGTGCTGCAGAAAGATGTAATATGCGCGCAAGCGATATAGCGCGAGAGATTAATTCCCCCCCCCTCCGCCGTGCAATGCCGAGGTGCAAGAGGGAACCCCCTCAGCCTGTGCGGTGGGCGACTGTTTGTTGGTTGTTGAAAGGAGGATTTCCTCGCCCGCTTCGCAATATCGCCTACTACCTCTTAGGGGAGGGGGTGGATTGGCGAGTGGGGGGAAACTAGCGATCCTCTAAGGCACGTCGATCCTCGGGAACTCTGCCCGCGATGAGATCGAGGGAAGGGGCGACGATCCAGCGGGCGCCTTTTCCTGGGAAGGAGGCTCTTCTGAACTCTGGAAATCGAAGGGGGGGGTCTTTTACTTCGGAGGAAACACGCGCAGGGAAAGGGCTTGAGAACCACGTGGGCGCGCAGCCTGCGCTCGTGACTGCGCGGCGGACCTGTGCCACTCGCGGGTGGACTGGGCTGGCGTACACCCGAGGAAACGTTCCTGGCGAGATCTGCACGTGAGAAAAGTTCCGGGTGGGATTGCAACAGGACGGGGGAGGGGGTCCACTCTTGTTGTGGCTCCTCTCTCTCTCTCTCTCTCTCACACACACACACACACACACACACAACGCGCCAATCACGTCTCTATTCCGGCAATCTGGTTTTCTGAAAAAAGCAGAATTTGCAGCGAAGAGAGATACACCCCACGAGCAAACAAGTCAGAATCTGCAAACAAGAGAAGGGGAATGTTTATCTTTTCCTGCATCCAAAAGGAATAATAATATTTTTTAAAGATAATAATAATAATAGTGGGGTGTTGGTGCATTTTATTTTATTTCTTCAAATCGGATTCCCAAGCTTTAAAAGAAGAGAAATAAATGAGTCTGAAGAAAAAGAGAGAGAGAAAGGAGCGAAGGACTTAAAAGGGGGAGGGGACCTGCCAGGGGGAAAGGGGAGAGGAAGGGGGAGACTGTTTGGGAAATTGCAAAGGGGGCGTCCAAAAGAGTAGTGGCGGGTTTTTGCAGGGATAAATAAAAGAAGAGGAAAAGAAGGATGGTGGTGGGGGCTGATTTCAGGGAGCCGAAATGGCACCGGGAGATGTGTGTGCGTGTGTAAGCAACGCTGAAGCGAATTAAGATGCAGGGTGCATTTTGGGGCAGGCGGCAACCCAAGCAGATCAGAGCCCTGCTTAATTTGCTTTGCTTCTCCACTATGGCGCTTTCCTCTTCCCCCACCTCTGTGGCTTCTCCTTCCCTCCCCCCCCCTTCCCCATCTCTTTTAATCGCCTCTTGTTTCTGCTCCTTTGCACACAGACACAAGAGCCAGGAAGGCGGCGGAGTTTCGAGGTTTCCAGCCGCAGGACCGCGCGGGCTTACAGGTGGATCCATCTATCTCCCTCTCCGGCTTCTCGATCTCTCCCTTTCCTCCTCTCTTCTCGCAATCCTGGGGAAAGAATTCCTGGTTTCTTGGAGAGGGGGAGAAACATTGCGCCGGAAAAGCTTCGTTCTTCGAGCCCAGTGTTTTCCCAAACTTATTGGAGCTGAGTTAACTGCTACCCCACTCCGATCGATAAACAGGAGCACTCTTTGCATCAGCGGAGGAGAAGAGGTTTTATTTTAGAAAGCAAAAAAAAGAGAGAGTGAAAATGCCCCCCTTAGGAGAGAAGCCCCCTCCTGGTATTTATGCATGAGTCATGATGCTGAACAAGATCTCTTGATCAGAAGGAGAAAGGGGGCATAAACTCTATGTGCTTTGCATACAGAAGGGGCTAGACTGAGTCCCCAGCATCTTCAGGTAGGGAGCAGAGGACTCTGGTCTGAAACCTCAGAGACCCCTCTGCTAGTCTATGTTGGCCAGTCTTTGCATACCTAGTGCTCTCCAGATGTTTTGATATAGCTCTTCTTGCCCACCCACAGGCAGTGGAAGCTGGTCCATCGTGCCACCAGCCAGCGCATAGTTAAACTATGGAACCAGGAGGCGGTGATGGCCACAAACATGGGTGGCTTTCAAAGAGGATTGGACAAATTCATGGAGGACCGCTCTAGCCATAGCTAGTAGCCATAATGGCTGTGTTCTGCTGCCATAGTTGGAAGCAAGAAGGCTTCTGAATATCAGTTGCCAGAAGCTAAAGGAGAGGGGAGTGTTCTTGCACTCAAATCCTGCTTGCTGGCTTCCCACAAGCATCCGTGATAACAGGATGCTGGGCTAGGTGGATCATTGGCCTGATCCAGAAGGCTCTTATTATGTCAACAAGTCCAGGGGGTAGGACTGCCTACCAGCTCCCTCCTCCTCCGTCTCAGTATTGCACTTGTAGAACTCAGCAGGACAGAGGATGGAGATGAATGCAGAAGGTGTTGGATCTGCCTGTCATTGTCTCTGGCTCCATCTACTGTTGGGGCTCCCTACCTTCTGCCTTACCAGTCAGAATGAGCACCAGCCACCACTGGTAACAATTGTTAGTCCCAAACATCAGGAGGGCACCTGGCTGGCGAAGTCTGGTGCAGACCATACTGAGCTAGATGAACCAATGGTCTGACTTGACTATATAAGGCAGCTTCCTGGGAGGCAAGCTTGGAGAGGGGACTCCTGCAGAGACCCAATAGGCAGCCTCCTCTGCGATTCGTCAGTTCTCCTGCATCCTATTTCAGGAGCGATCTGATCACACCCACCATCGAGATGTGACAGAATGACCTGCAGACTCAGCCAAGGATGATCAGAAGGCGTTGAGAAGGGCAGAGCAGTGAGTCATGCTGAGACACGAGTGGGCAGCCTCCTCCACTATTGATGGATGCTTTGGATTCAAAGTTTCCTTTCATCGTTTGAAACAGTTTGTTTCTTCTGACATAGAGTTGTGCTGCTCTAGACTGAAGGCAGTGGGGCAGGATCACTACCCAGCACCTCAAGGCTCCAAACTGATATACATCTGATATATTTGCTTCTTCAATTTACTTCACACATACTGTTTAAAATTAGTGCTGTGCTGGACATTTCTCCTTCTTGTTGTTGTTGTTTTACCATTAATGAAGGGGAATTAATGAAGAAATTGCATTTGAAAATTATCAAAAGGAAGACAAAGTTTGGGCAGATTTCTCATGGCCGGAGTGCAGGGTTTTTGAGTTGCTTACTTTACTTTACTTCTTGAGGTGGTAGAGGGGGTGTTTGTGAGGGTTCTTGCTTTTTTTCTGCAAATTGCCTCACTTGTGGTCTGCACTCTGCAGCCTTCCTGGGTGCCAGCACTTCATCAAAGCCCAACAGCTTTGACATTGTGAGATAAACTCTTCCACAGAGCTTTTTCAGATCAAGAAGTCGAGAAGGCTACAGGTTGCTGGAGAAATCTCACACCAACTGAAATTCTCATATATATATATATATATATATATATATATATATATATATATATATGGTAAAGGTACCCCTGCCCGTACGGGCCAGTCTTGACAGACTCTAGGGTTGTGCGCCCATCTCACTTAAGAGGCCGGGGGCCAGCGCTGTCCGGAGACACTTCCGGGTCACGTAGCCAGCGTGACAAAGCTGCATCTGGCGAGCCAGCGCAGCACACGGAAATGCCGTTTACCTTCCCGCTAGAAAGCGGTCCCTATTTATCTACTTGCACCCGGAGGTGCTTTCGAACTGCTAGGTTGGCAGGCACTGGGACCGAGCAACGGGAGCGCACCCCGCCGCGGGGATTCAAACCGCCGACCTTTCGATCGGCAAGCCCTAGGCGCTGAGGCTTTTGCCCACAGCGCCACCCACGTCCATATATATATATATATATATATATATGAGAAACAATAAAAGGCTATCAAAGACACCAGTGGCAGCCAGCTTCTAAAACAGCAACAAAATTAAATGCCATTAAAATTACCGTAAAAGCTAGAGAAAATCATTTGCCAAATCCGTGCAACTCTTTTGGAGAAAATGGTAACTGGACAGTTAAACTGAAGCCTGGTCAAAGTTGAGGTCCTATGGGTCAGGTACAATTTTGACTGAGAAGACCTGCTCTAGAATGGGATTACAGGGTTGTTGTTGTTGTTGTTGTTTGTTTGTTTGTTTGTTTGTTTGTTGTTGTTGTTGTTTTTGAGGATCAGTGGATCCTAGTGAAGGCTCCAGTCTTAGCACCACTTATCTGGGAATAGCTCCATTGAATTCAATAGGACTTAGTCAAATCACAACTAACCTGTCTCATTGATTTCAGTGGGACCTAAGTTCAACTAACAGGGCAAAGTCTTTACCTGCTACCTTAATGTAGTATGAGATTGGTAGTCTGGCAGATGGTCAAATGCAGGAGATCCAAAGACTTTTAAATAGTCCTGAGAATAGCTCAGTTGGTAGAGCATGAGATTCTTAATCTCAGGGTTGTGAGTTTGAGCCCCACGTTGAGTGAAATATTCTTGCATTGTAGTGGGTTGGACTAGATGATCCTTATGGTCCCTTCCAGCTCTACAATTCTATGATTCTAAGACACTACAAATAAGGAGGCCATGCTTCATGTTGCCACTTAGGGCAGGGCCTGAGCAAAGCCTGGTTGGGCAGGCTCTTGGGGGGAATAGTGGTCCATCAAGTATCCTGGACTCAAGATTTCTTAGATCTTGAAAGGTCAATAGCAACACTTTGAATTGTGCCCAAAAAACAAATAGGTAGTTCCTTAAGCACTGGCAACTTCCTTTATTCTGATGCTATGTAAGCAAATAGAGAGTGTTTTCTGAAGCAGAAATATAAGCATGCTTATTCTGTAAGTATGCTTCACTGAGTTCAATGGAACTTACCCCCAAGTAAGTGTGCCTGGGCTTGTAGCCCTGGGAGGTACTTCCTTTTCTCAGTCACCACGGGTGAGTCCAAATTCTACTATTCTGGAAGAGGGGGTGGAGAATGTTCCCTCTCCACCATTAACTTCCCTTTCCCACCTCTTGTCTATTTTGGGTGGCACATAAACGCCTCCTTC